CCAGCCACGCCAATTATTTGAGTTCAGCTGGTCAGATTATTCTGGCCGGCGTAAACTTACAATTGCGTGTCTTTTACATCAGTCTACAATCCTATTGGTCCAAAATCACATGGATTTACAACAAACAAGTTTCCATCCTGAAATTGTGATAATGGGACGCTGTGCGAAATTTCCCACCAAGATAAGACTAGGATTCGTAGGTTTTGATTGGTAGCTACAGATAAAACAGGATTTGAGAAAGATATTTTTAGGATGGGACCTCTGTTGGCAGGCCCCAAAGAACGTCACATAGTAGCACTTGACGTGTCAAGCTTCGGTTCAAGTTCAAGAGTCGAAGACTGGTATTGCCTCTTAGCACGAGGTTTAACGCTCGGTGACGCGTTTATGTGGTTACGGTCTAAGTGTGATCAGCACATTCGGAACTCCATTCCTTGGGTTAAAGGATATAACGCTTCGGCTAATCCCTCCTTGGTTACCGCGGAGAATAACTTCTGAATAGTTCGCACTTGGTATCGTTTGATCTACACTCGTTGCTACTGAACTTGTTTTAGCCTGCATTCTTGCATGGAAAAGCGAAAGACTCGCCAACCCGAAGCACCGTTTATCAACGACACCAAGTCCTTGACGACCCGCAGTGAAACGCTCGACAAACTGCGACAGGACTTGTGGTTGACCACGCACAAGTAGCTGAAGATCGTTCAACTCATCCGGAACGAAACCCAGATTGCAAGGACTCCGACGCTAGGAATATCTTGCACTATACGACGGAACTGCTGAAACTCCGCATGAGCCAGACGCAGGCTATTCTGGAAGGAACTCTCGACCACTTCATCCAGATCGACAAAAAGCGTAGACTTAAGCAAAAGCAGTAGTTTCTTTTTCTTTACTTCCTTCTCTATTAGGGTTTTGGTAGACCTTATCAATACGCACTGAGAAGTCCAGCTGTTATGGCTCATAGAAGAAGCCGTGCAGTTGAGCGCCCGTCACCGAACCCTTGTCTTTGTCAACAGAGCCGTGTTAGTGCTCCAAGCGACGCTGAAGCTACTCAACCTACGATGCGAAGAAGTAGAAGATTGCAAGCGTCAAGTGAAGGGACCAGTGCTAATGCACAGGCTGAGTCAGCCTCCCCTGAAAGCGTAGAGCCTCACTCCCGCTTTCTCAGTCGCTTGCGGTAACCACTCTTTCCACCACCGGAGCACCTTCTGCTACCGTGATGTCGAGGCTGCAGAGGTTCTACACACTAAAGACCCTTTTTACATATTTGACATCAATGCTATCTATGACAGCGGCTGAGACCCCTAAGCGTATATGTCGAAGCTACAGTAACTGTCAACGTGGGCGATCTACTTCATATTCCATGAGTGCACATCTAGACCTGCAGTAAGCACCACAAGGACTTGGCAGCAATCGCGCAGCCCGTGGCTAGCCAAGCTGCTAAAATAGTTAGATTGATGCCGCAATGGATTAGTATTAGTTAGCATTCCAGCCTGCATGCGTATACATTTTCCTCGCAACTGTTGCCTTCTCTATTACTGCATGTAACAAGTCAACAATGGCAACATCAGCCGCAGGAAAAGCATACAGTTGCCTGCTTTGGATTTCATAATTTAATATATCAACAAAACGCATTTCAATTCCCACCGAAACCCCTCCCAAAGTGAATAGACTTTCAGATAGCATGCGAGTGACTCGACATATTAACGGATTACACCTGTTTTATGTACACGAATGGTGTTCG